ACTTGCCTCCAATCTTTATTGATGAAATTGAAATAAAAAGAGACTCCGTTATTAAATTTTTAGGTGTTTATCTCGATGAGAACATTAATTGGAATCAACATATTAACTATATATGCACTAAAGTCTCTAAAAACATTGGAGTTTTGTACAAAGCTCGAACTTATCTCAATAAGAAACACTTAAGGCAACTTTATTTCTCATTTATTCACTGCTACATAAACTACGCTAATATTGCCTGGGGAAGTACTGAAAAAAGTAAATTACTTCGTCTTTATCGCTGTCAGAAACGAGTAATTCGCATAATTAACTTTGCTGATCGTTTTTCTCATTGTAAACCTTATTTTATTGAGATGAAAATTTTAAATGTATTTGAACTCAACGTTTTAAAAATTTTATGCTTTGTTTATATGTGGAAAAACAATCTATCCCCCCCCCCCCCCAGTCTTTAAAGATTTTTTTAGTTTAAAACCCAGTAACAGATACGCTCTTAAGAGAAAAATTTTTTTTAACGAACCTTTTTGTCAAACAAATTTTAATCAATTTTGTCTTGCCTATCGTGCACCACACCTATGGAATAAACTTGTTTTACCTAATCTTGATTTTGATCGACCAAATTCTTTTTGTCTTTTTAAAAACAAAATTAAAGATCTAATTTTCTCCCTCGATAACATTTTAGAGTACTATTAATTAATTTATCTATTATTTAAATTTTTATTATTTTTTCCCTAAAGTTTTGTTGTTAACAACTATTTATAATTAAAGATTTGCTAATGTAAAAGTTCTATATATATATTTTACTTTACTGTAACGTATACTTTACAAGATATTCGTAAATTATATTGTTTATAAATGTTTTTTAAGGTTCCGATGATAAGATCTTAGTGATCTTCTTTCGGAAACCTAGTTTACACTGTTATCACGATTTGTATATATATATTTGTAAAGTAATTTTAATAGTTTATTATATTGTAAAACGACTAACTTTGTAAGCTGAAAAAAAAAAAAAAAATATTGGAGGGCCCTAAATTTGCGGGGCCCGAGGCTTTACCCCCCTAGCAAATATTAAAAAAGAAGGCCAACCTTATAACCACAACAAATCAAATTTTACCCTAAGTTACACCCCCTATAAGTTCACACCCCCTAAAACTTGTTTTGATTACCGATTTAACATCAAAATCAATTTGTGATTTTCTTATGAAAAAAAAATACAGTTTGGGTGTAACAACTCTGTTTACTAGGTGGAACTCTGTTTTTGAATAGAGCATAAAGAGAAGCTCCTCAAGGGAATGGTCCCTCCTCTTTCTAAACATCTTCAAAAGAAATAATAACAGCAAAGCAAACAAAATAAAATATAAAGCCATTCACTTTGCTCTACCCACAAACTCTATCTCTAAACGCAGAAGTCATGCACCTGATGACCTTTACCCTCAGTGTATGAAAGATAGAGAAACTTTATCTCACATTATATATAGTTGCGAAAAAGTACAACCCTTAATTAAATACACAATATATTTGTTAAATAAGATTTATTCGAGCACTTTTGAATTTTATCTTTTTGGTTTTGTTGAAAACGCGCAAAAATTTTATATTGGTAGTTTATTGCTTGACGAGCTTTTGTATTATGTCTATTCTATACGAATGAAAGCTTATCATGAGAGAAGTATGAGCGCAAGAATAAGCCTTTTAAGAGCATATGTATCTAAACTTCAAAAATTCGAAATAGATCGAACACGACATTGCTAAAGAAATCAATCAATTAAACTCTTTTTTAAATGAAACTAAAGAAATAAGAGATACAAACGGAAACATAAAACTAGAAAATAAATTAAACAAACTTTTAAATTATATCAAAAAACCTAATACTTTTTGAAAGACCCAAACTTTTTATTTTTTTTTATTTTTAATATATTTTTCTTTTTACTTACATCTCAACTTAAAAAGCATAGGAAAAAGTTTTTTATTTTTTCAATTTTTTTTTATTTCTATGTGATTCTTGTCAAGTAGTCCATAAGGCAAAATGCTGGCGGACTACTGAAATATAAACACAATACCATCTACATTAGGGATTGTCCACCAATTACGCAACGCTAAATTTCACTAACTACAAAATAAACAAGAACAAAATTACTCGCAGAGCCTTAGTTTAACAAAATATTCAAAACAGCTCATTAAATTTAATGAAAATTACCGTATAAAAGAAGTTAAGATTACAAATTTTTTTAGAAATAAAATTAATGGCAGGAGTAAGAATTATTTTTCTCATTACATTATTTACATTATTTTTGTCTTATCGCCGAGCACCGTGTTACAATATATATATATTTTTAACAAGAGTATAAAGTATAAACTAACAAATAAGATAAATATTTACAAAAATATATAATTAACATAAAAATAAGATCGTCTTATATAATAGGTAATACTATAAATATATTAGATAAAAACAAAAAACAAGCAAAAAAAAAAAGAAAGAAAAAGAACTAAAAAGTTTTTAAAAAATGTAATTAATGATATAATCATTAATAAACAAGAACAAAATTACTCGCAGAACCTTAGTTTAATAAAAAATTCAAAACAGCTCATTAAATTTAATGAAAATCACCACGTAAAGGAAGTAAAATTATTGGCAAAATTAAAAACGAGTTTGACAGCATCACTCTCTAAGCTGACATTGGCAGAGCAGTGGAATGGCCACATTTTTAGCTCATGCATTTCAACATTGAGAAATAAAAAGTAATGCATGTTGGCTGCGCATGTAAAAAGTTGACGTGCAACTACTCAATGGCCAACGTTGACGGCACGTGTTTTCAAATCGAAAATACTGTAGTAGAAAGAGACCTTGGTGTGATGGTCTCCATCGATCTTAACGTCGGACCACAAGTAGAGTCAGCTGCATCAATTTCAAATAGAATGCTAGGGCGACTCGAAAAAACATTTCGGAGTTTTTATTTATGGAGCACATTGTATCTTATTTACATTCGCCCCCATCTTGAGTTTACAGTTAAAACCCCAATGGTCGCCGCATTTAAAGTCCGACATTGTTATCCTCGAGCAATTTAAAACCACGCGTCAACTCTAGTTTGTCAGTTTTTTCGTCTCTCAAAAACTTTCAAACAGTAATGCCAAGTATATTTTGAGAGGGCATAATCAAAAACTAGAACGCTAGGTTGTACGAAATTGTGAAGAACGACATAAATTCTTTTCAAATAGAGTTGTTGTCCCATGGAATACGCTTTCCCAAGCAGCAGTAAACGCTCCATCAATCAATGCTTTCAAATACAGCATAACAAAATAACTTTTAGAGACACAAGTCAGGGCCGACAACACCGGGGGAAGGGGGGGGGGCAGGAGGACACATTCACCCCCCCCCCCCCCCACACACACACACACTTTTTCTAAAGGATTTTTTTTCTTCCACAAATTGATGATTGTGTCCCCCCCTTCCCCCCCCCCCCCCCACTTCAAAAACCGTGTCGTCGGCCCTGAAATTGCTGCTTTATCCGTTGCTTCAGTGTTTTTTTTTTCGTCAGCATAGAGGAGCCTGGGGTAACACCTGTTCATCAAACTATAAACAGATTTATTAAACTTTTTCTTTTTTGATCAATGAATAATAATAAATAAATAAAAATAATAATAATAATAAAAATACAATAAACTTATATTCATAAACTAAATAATGTCCTCAGTTTATTGTCAGTTTAGATAACATAAAAATACTTAACGAATAAAATGAACAATCTTTTTATTCGAGTTTTCCAATAAATAGTTTTTTGTAAAACCAAGAATAGTTTCTTTTATTATTTAACAAATATATAAATATAATAGGACACAAAAATTATCTGAAATTAAATTTTAGCGTTAACAAACGGAACCGAAAGTAGTCTCTATTGTGGGGCCCCTCTTTTGTGGAAATTTTTATTATTTATTTTCTAGTCGTGAAGAAAACATCGTAATAGCAGAGCTAATTGAGTTGAGTTCTCTTTGTACCAAGCCCGATACACATTGGGTCAGGTTGGCACATTTTTTCTAAAGGACCTTTTTTTTATCTATGCTTCGTCTTTGTATTTGTGTCACTTCGAAACTCGTGTCGTCGGCCATGCGTACCATGGTACTACTCATACGCTAAGTAGACGAAGCCAGAATTTGAATTTGTAATCCTACTGCTATGGCCAATAATTATTGCGAACTTTAATAACGCTCTAACCGACTAAGCTATCCCTAAACACTTTTTTAATTATTATTTTTTGTGGAGGCCTTAGGACTGTAGCCCCGGTTGTCCTACTCTTAACCCAGTCCTGATTCCGTGTAACCTTTTGTCTACAAAAAGACTTAAAACTAAACAAATATAATTTTACATTTATTTACATTTACACTTCAGAATCGGCAAGCTTTTTTTTTTTTTTTGTATTTAATTTTTATTTTTTGTAAAATAACTCACTCAGTCGATTATATACATAAAAACTCACTGGCGATTATATGTATAAAAACTCCGATTATTCAAGTGTTTTCTTTGTATTTGTTTTTGGTATTTCATATATTTTTTACTACAATCATTCAATTTACAACTAAGTTTTATAACACTTTTACTATAATGAGAACACTTTTACTATAATGAGAATTTCACTTTCAAGATATATTTTTAAAAACTAAAGTATTAAAATATTACAGTGCACAACATCTTTAATTCACATGTTTAACAAAATGGATAATTTTCTGTTTTTCTAGTTAATTAAAATGAATTAGTGTTTTTTAAAAAACATTGATTTATTTTTAAAAGTTTCTTTTAAAAACACTGATTCATTACAAAAAAAAATTATTTTAAATTTTCGAGCATTTTTGAAAAAACACAACAAAAAGTTATTGATTGGAAGCGGCTCACCTTGTTTCTATCAGGGATTGATAGAAGTTTAAGAGAAAATTTCAAAATATGCTTAAGATGTCGGCAATGGTACAAGAAAAAAAGTTACGCAATGGTTTAAATAGAAAAATTTTTTTATAGCACGGAAAAAAACACATACTGAAACTTTTTAGTCACTGTGTAATAAGATCTACGAAAGAAATATATATTGTTTCTATATACACATATACAAGTTTATATATATGTGTATGTACATATTTTATTACTACTATTTTTCTGCTGTAAAACATGTCCACGAAAATAAAACTGATCAAAGCCAGTACAACCCCCATCACTAGTCTATATGAACCTGAAGGATTTTCAAGCACAGGACCCGGTAAAACAGAACAACTAGGCTATATAATATTTGCAGAGTTTAAAGCTGTAAAAGCACTCGTTGCAATTCTAGAAAACAAAGTCCTGACCTTAGAAGCAGAAAACGAAACCTTACACAAATCTCTTAGCGAACTAAAAAAACCTCAACTGGTCTCATTCTCATCACTCTTCAACAACAAATCTAATGAAAGTAAAAATGATCAGAATCTATTTTTAAATAAAGTAGCACATGAGCAGAAACAAAGACAGCAAAAAAAAATCAAGTGTAGTTGTGGTGGGACTGGAGGTCTTAGACAAATATGTCGAAAATAAACAGGCAGCCGAAAATTTCTTGCTCACTAAATCAAACAAATATTGACGAGTTGAAAGCCAGAATACAAGCAACCACCAAGCATAACCGCCCACATCTTATTTTTTTTGCTGAGACGTGGTTTACTGAGGCTTCAGATACTGCTATTGCAGGGTATAACATCTTTTCACGAAACAGGGCAGGAAAAATAGGAGGTGGTGTAGCTGTTTGCGTACAAGCTGATCTCAAGTGAACGCTCACAAACATTGAACAACTTAACAAAAACACCGTTGAACAGATATGGATAAAGCTGAAACTCGAAAATGAATCACTCCTTTTAGGGTGTATCTACCGACCACCAAATAATGATGAACTTGCACTCCTAGAAATTATTAAATCAATTCAGACTGCTACAAAGGCCCTCAAAACAATTGATTGCGACTCCTTACTACTCTATGGCAATTTTAATTACAGACACATTAGCTATGAAAGTATTAACGTTGGAGGAGGTGTTTCGACAGCAGTAAACATACTGATCAACAGCTTACCTGTCATTAAGTTCAAGTCTTGTTTAGAGGAAAACCATCTTACGCAACTTGTCACTTTCCCAACCTTTCGAAATTCACGTTTTAAAGAACCAAAGTCCATCTTGGACTTAGTTATAAACAATGAGCCAGACAGAATAATTTTCTTAACTCAAGCTGAACCTTTGGGATCTACCCCCGAGGGACAAGCTCACCTAACTATTGTAGGTTCATTCACAGCAACAATAACAAACAATGAACCACCTATAATTTCTCGATTAGTGTGGAGCAAGGCAAACTATACATCTATCTCGAACTATATTAAAAGTTATGACTGGGAGGCATTATTCAAAAGGACATCAGAAGCCTAAAAATACAAACTTTTAATTGAAAAATATAATGAAGCTACTTCACTCTACATACCAAGTACCACAAAACCATACCAGCCAAAAAAAAATCCATGGGTTAGTAGTGAGGTCATGGAAGCTGTAAAAAACAAGAGTAAAGTCTGGGGTAAATATGTATCAGCAGGACCAGGGACGCACCAACTTATCAGAGGAGAATATAGCAAAGCAGCAAAAACCGTCTCAAAAATTGTGAAAAAAGCAACAATTGACTATGAGTAGGCACTAACTTCTTCGTTTAATAATAACTCAAAGGGACTAAACTCTTATGTGAAAAGCAAAATCAAAGTCCATGATAAAATCTATTTACTTGAAGACAGCAATGGATCGGTGACCGATAACATATTTAACATATGTAAGACATTGAATGATTATTTTTATGCTGTATTTGAAGTAGAGCCGTTTCCAAAACCTTGGTACCCTGTAAGGTGTTGGAAGGTTTAATCCACAATTTAATTATGCAGCACTGCGTCAAAAACAACCTTATTACCCCAGCTCAGCATGGCTTCGTCAAACAGAAGGGGTGTGCAACAAACCTATTAGAATCGCGGGATGTTGTTACTAACGCCATCAACCAGGGATTTACGGCAGACGTAATTTATACAGACTTTTCAAAAGCGTTCGATAAGGTACCGCACGAAAGACTCTTATATAAACTAAAGGCTTATGGTATTCACGGTCAACTACATAACTGGATAAGAAATTGGCTAACAAATAAAGAACAACGTGTCAAAATAAATAATACATTGTCTCCATGGAAAAAAGTGTTTAGCGGAGTCCCTCAGGGTTCGGTTTTAGGAGCGCTCCTTTTTGTGCTCTATATTAATGATTTACCGGACTTAATTTTGAATCATATAAAAATGTATGCAGACGACAGCAAGATCATAGGTGTTATCGAGTCAGAAAAAGATGCACTATGTCTTCGAAAAGATCTTGACACTGCTGTAAATTGGTCCAAAAATTGGCTTACGCCATTTAACATTGAAAAATGCAAAGTTATGCACATGGGCAAAATAATAATAATAATAATAATAATAATAATAAGCCAAACTATTTGTATACATTGGAATCACAAAATGGTCATCGCAAACAACTCGAAACCACAACAAAAGAATGCGATTTGGGAGTTATAGTTTCCAATAATCTTAAAGTGAAATTACAAGTTGAACACGCAGCTGCAGCTGGAAATAGAGTGCTAGGGAAATTTAAAAAGGGATTCAGAAGTCGTGGTCTAACTCTTTGGCGTTTTTTATATACTACCTATATCCGACCATTATAAGAATTTGCTGCCCTAGCGTGGTCTCCTCATTTCATAGGAGATATAAACACAATTGAAAAAATTCAGCATCGAACAACAAATTGGATGAGGTCAATAAGTAATCTAAAATACGAGGAACGTTTAACACGGCTTAATCTGACTACTCTTGAAACTCGCCGCATGCGTATTGATCTTATACAGCAGTACAAAATAGTTAATAGAATTGATTCAATCAATTTTGTGGCGCCACAAACTACACCAGCCTATCGAGAATCTAAATACATTTTAAGAACTAGGAGCCATGCCTTTGAACTAGCCGCTGAAAAAAACATTGAAACATAAAGAAAGACGTACTTTTTTCACTAACCGAGTAGTTAAAAACTGGAACTCTTTAACAACTACTACAGTAAACGCACCATCACTCAATTGTTTCAAATGTAGACTTCGTAGTACGATTTATTCATACAATTTGGCTGGCGCAACTATAATTGCAAATACTGTCAGAGAAGAGGGGTTTTTGTCAGCCTCTCTCCGTCAATAATTAGAATATGCAGTTTAGATAAATTCGCACCACGAACTGTTTTTATTGTGCAATTTTAATAAAATTGTAAATAATTATTGATTACTGAATAAATATACAAATACAAATAGCCAGAAACTGTAAAATTAAATTATTAAAAAAAAATAACTATAAATTTTTTGATTTTTTTCTTTTTTTGTTTTCTTTTAGTTCTATAAAAATTGCCTCACCAAAATTTTTAAAATTTCTGTACATATTTAGAAGAAATACACGGAAAAGTAACTTTTGGATACGGTTCGCCTCGTGGCTATCAGTGACTGCTAGAAATTTCCAAAAAATTCTAAAATCGTTTTAAAATGAGGGTAATGGTGCCAGCGAAAAAGTTACAAATAAAGTTTTTATTTTATAGCTGAAAAACTGTAATAAAATAAATCTAAATTGTAAATCTAATAAAATTCAGCACTAGCTGAATCAATTAGACTATTTTTAAATTTAAAGTAATTTTTCTATGTGATTTTATTTTATTTCGAGGTTTAAAATATCTTTTTATTATATGTTCATAACTCATCTCTTCTTTATAATCAACTACAATTCGAAACGACTTTTTTCGCATTTTTCTTTTAACTCAAGTAGTCTTTGTTAATACTCCATTATTGCTTTGATAATTGATCTTTTTAAAGCAATATTTGAATTTAGCCTAATTTATTTTTTTAGAGTTGAGCTCACAATAAAGTTAAGAATATGGATTATTTTTAGGTCCATCTTGTACTTTTTATTGCGCTCTTTAACTATAAGGGGCTAAAATGCTAAAATGATACAGATACAGATGCTAAAATGATAAAATTTAACTTTGATTAAAGACTTTAGTGAATTTTTTCAGACTTTGGTGAAATAAAGCATCTTATGATACTTTAGTTCTTAAGTCAGCAAGAAGAATGTCTTAGGTTTTCATGTATAAATCTATAACTTCTAATTCTATGCTTAACAAAAACAAGCCTTTAAAAATACCATCAGCATCAAAACAGTCAATTGTCTTTTCGACACCTTCCTCAATATATTTTAGCTGCTTTACTGGACATGAATGAATTTGAAAACTTACTGACATCATTGTTACACTATATCTTAGTAGAATTAGAAGTTGAGTGAATTGAGTAAGAACTTGGTCATAGTTGAAATAGCAGTCTTTTTTGGGCATGATGGTACTTGTTGCTGTTTAGGGAGAAGCTTTTTTATTTGACCTGAAAAAGCCTCAATAAAGAGTTATGATTGCTTTATAGCTTCCATTACATTGTGTTTTTTTGCATTTTTATAGTTCAATTTTTAATGTAAAAGAATCTACTGGTTTTGACTCTTCTAAAAATGCATTATCTGCTTTATGGAGGATATCGATACTAAATTGACTGTTTTTATGAGAAACTTTATCAATGATGAAATCGTAAAAATACTCTTTTAAATTAAAATTATCTTTAAATACCAAATTGAAATGGTATTCAGCAAGATTGTAAGAAAATACAATCTTTTTTTCTCCATATAATCCATTTAAAATAATAATTCAATAATCAATTTAAAACAGCACTTCAGTGCAGCACTCCAATAATCAATTTAAAACAGCACTTCAGTGCAGTTGGGTAAGTTAATGTTCCTAAACTCGACATGATTCTACATATTTAGATTCGTTTGAACTTTGCTAATGTAAGAGCCATAAATATTATAAGACTAAATAATCGTTTCATTCTAAATTCCTAACTTTTTTTCCGCATGGTGATTTCAACCTTATATATATGATTGAATTTCATCTCTATATATAGAGATGAAATT